ATATTCCATAAGCACCATAAAACATTGTCTATAACCTCTGCATGACTATAAAAGCATTCAAGTATATATACATAATAACACTTGCAGTTTAAGACCTAACTCAATATACTTGGCTAACAGTTTAATGGGCTAATAATAATTTTTCCATGGCTTGCAAGCCAATCAAGCCATTATGATTGCCCACAAATTGTGAGGGTACGTTGGCAGAGAATTGTCTTGAGCATAGGGAATGATTCATAGGAGGCATGATATCGTGTTGTGTCCTATCGCATGGCCCAAGCAATTTGTCATAGGCAGAGGCAGAGGTTATCAAAGATACACACACACATATATATATATGTATATATAGAAGTGTCTGTTTGCAAGTGCATCGCATTGAATGTACAGAAATGCTGGGCTAGAGTATCGACAGTCGGAAAACGGATGTCGGCACTTTTTGGTGGTAAAATTGATGTTGACCCAAACGCGGGCAGCCGTTTTCATGGCCCATGGCAACGGCGAGCGTCGAACTGTAAAATTATAAAGATGCGCCGCCGACAAACGGAAGCGCGTGTTTAAGGTTAGCAGTACAGGGCCAACACCAAGAGCTGGCTGGCTGGCAGCTGTCAGGGAAACTTACAGTTCGATCGAACTTTGAAATTGTAGTTTCTTGAGCAGCACTTGGTAATATCATATGGAATATGAAAAGAGCTCCATCCATCACAGTGTTGCACAAAAATTTTTGCGTAATTTCAGCAGATAACAGAAAAAAATTAAAATTAAAACTGGTTTCCAGCCACAGTTCTAAAAGAGAAACTCATTAATAATCTATACAAGTTCGTAGGTACAACTCACCATTAATTAAGGGAGACTTCGTGTCTCTAGGTATTCAAAAACAAATATATATCTTATAGAGTTTGCCAATGGACGACTAAGTGCAGCAACAACTACAAAAGGAAGCACACGATTAATCCAGCCAACGTTGAGATTGAAACTTACCATCAATATTACCCTTACCATCGAGCTAGCACTCTAAAAACATCGACAATCGGAACTTTACGACTGCATCAAGATCTGAGAGTATCGCCAATAGAGCTACCAGAGAGAAACTAATCATTAATCTGTCGGATTTCGCAAAGCGCAACTTACCTTACTTATTCTGAGTCAGAGCAGAAGTCTAACTGCTCAAAAAACTCTAAAACTACATGCGGATACAGTTCAGAGAGCGCATTGATTGGCACAGCATCGAGTGATGAGACTGTTTTCCACTTGACCATCATATAGACTTCTTTTCGCATCTTGAAGACCTTAACGATTTTCTCCAATGGCAATCCGCGTTGGAGGCCCTGGATACGCGTTTGGATATTTAGCGCATCATCCCACCTGCCCATCCCACCTGCCGGGCCCTCGGTTTTAGCAGGTGCTTCGGACATGTGGTCTCGAATTGGCATGCCTTTTACATGCTCAAGTATGATGTTAGATTCGTCAGATTTTGAACTAT